AGATCCAATGGACCTAAACTATATAAAAAAGATCCAATGGACCTAAACTATATGCTAAAATGATAAAACTAGTTCAGCTATTTACAAGACATGTAACACTACATGAAAACAGATGTTAAAAACATCTGAATTGTAACTATGGCTGACAATCCATGTCAGAGCTCTTAAGCAGTTTTTTTTGTATGTATGTATGCACACACACATATCTCAGCATATTTTATATAGAAACTAATAAAAAAAGGATTAATCTACATATCGCCAGGTGGGAAAATGACAGCTGTACCGCTGTTTAACATATTTATTACAGTGCTTGTAAAAATCTCACGTTATTCCAAGTTACCTTGATTTTTGAACTTATCCTACACAGTGGAGAACCAGGTCTTCACATGGAAGAAATAGTATAATAAATCACCGCTCTCTTTCCAAGGGTGTCACAACATTATGAAAACTCTAATTGTATCCTACAATAAGGACCTTGAAATACCCAGGCATCTTTTAGACTGAAGTGTTCTGTTGCTTGATTTAAAATGCATATTTAAATAATGTATTTAGACTAGAGGAAGGGAAAAAGAACTACACTGTTTAAATTATATGTGACACATCTTCAGCTTCATATCTGAGAAATATTTATGTAATCAATTGTGAAATCCGTCTCAGTTGCTTACTGCCATTCTCTATTCCCAGTGTTACCATGCTTTCTAGACCATAAATCCTCCAAGAAAGGCCTCTTTAATTACCTGACAGTCAGCAGTTTCATCGCTCTTCTTCACCATGAAGAATACCTTTTTGATTTTCACAAAGGAGCTGATAGCTGTAATTACCAATATTACCCACTGAAGTCTTGGTAAACAACAGGCGCTCCCCGTCTTTTTGCATGAATGATACATCTGATTTTGTCAGTAATTTTCCCACCACCCCACCCATTCATCCAGATGCAAGAGGCATATTCTAAACTTCATCCTACCTGTCTTAAAGAGGAAGCCAGCAATTTCCTTCTGTTCACAGCACAAGGAAAGGACTGGTTTTAAGAGACTCCAACAATTAACAGAAGGGTTGCCCATGAAAAGAGATCAACATAGGAATCTCCTATTATCAATCTGAGAGCAGCCAGAGGTTTGTTTACACTTTTTAATCTATGGTATTGCCTTTCTTGTGCTGGAGAAATAAGTATGTACAGAAGTAGGAAATGGCAGGACAAAGGAAAAGAAGGGGGGTTGGTAACTAGCTGGGCAAGCAAGAAGTAAAAAAGAAATCAAAAGAACAGAAAAAGAAAACCTCAGAATCCATAATGTGGTTGCTCATACATAATTTTACCTTTGCTACAAATTTTAAATTAAGCAATATGAGACTTCTCATCTGGTTGTTCTTAGAGCTAGTCTGATCTCATGGTTTGAAGGCACACAAGATAAACATTTTCTTGATGTTAATCAGGCCTGGATGAACGGTCCTACAGAGATGGCCAGGTGAGCAACTATCAGTTCCATATTAGAAGCTAAGATACAAAATGAACTGAAAGCTAATTTCAACAATCTCTTTCCCCTGACATGACTTCATACTTTCTCATCGAGTTCACTAAGTTCCTTAGTTGAAGAACTGATGCATTAATAGGCTTAATTTTTCAGTGAGAAGAGACAGGGCAGCATTACAGGGAGGAGGAGATTCCGCACATGCTCAGAGACAACTTCCTAGTTTAGGCAAATTATTTAAGACATTATATAAAGGCTACACCAGCATCAAAAATGATTGTCTTATTTGCTGGGTTTAAAAATCTGTGAAAGCATAGATTCAGCCACCCTACTTTCAAAATTATTTCTTATATAGTTTAGCGGTGTGAGTAAGCCAAGCAGTTCTGGCTTGTTCAGCATACAGTTCAACAAGTGAAGGTTATATGCAAAGCCAGACACCACCTAGCAGGCAAGTCATGGAAAAATGTTGTCAACAATTGTCAAGAAGCCATGCAACTCTTTCACAATCACAGGCAGGAACTTGTTTAAAAAAAAAAAACACAGAATCCAAGGCCTGCTGTAAGGCTGCCAGTTCAGCCAAAGCTTACTCAGCATATCTGAATAGCCTGCCTAAGCAGGCCACAGGATTATTCCACTCCATGTCCAATAATGGCTAACTTTTAACTGATCCCTGGATTTCAACATTAATGCTGCACCCTGAAGCCATCTGTCCTAAAAGGATAACTGGATCACAACTAGATGAAAGGGATGTTCCACAAAGAGGAGGACTTCTCCAGGATCCTCCTGCCCAAATGCCGTTCTGTTGACACCCAGATCATGCCAATCCTGTTAGGAGGGAGTTGAAGGCTTCTTCGCTGGGCCTCTCTCAACCCTTTTATAATAGTTACAAAAGATTATCTGAACTGGAAAACTAAATCCTGGCACAGCCTCTCTAACCACCGGTGGCTTTACTGACCAACTGGAAACACCGCAAATCCTGTGGGAGGGCGTGAAGCAAGATCATTTAATCCTGCTTCTCATTTACCAACAAG